GGGAGGGCCTGGCAGAGCAAATGTTCAGTCCACGGCATTGGGGGCCGGGCAATAGCTCCCAAGCAGCGAGGAAGAGGGGCTGGATAGAGGCCCCAAGCTACACCGTTGTGGCCCATCCGGACTCACCCAGGAGTGTGCTGCCCCACCCCTGGGCAGCTCCAAAGCCGCTCAAACTCACCACTGAAGCTTCACCACCACAGATCCGAGGCGTGGATCCAGAGTTTCTTCAAAGTCCCAAGTGCTTATGTCTCACGCTACCTTATCCTCAAGGGCGGACGTGCACCGAATCACTCAGCAAGCTGGGAACTCCCGACTTCCCCTGCACGCACACTGACTCAACAGGACTGCCCAGCGGGCCGGGGACTCGGCATGTTTACAAGCAGCTTGTGGGCTAGGGAGATAGCTCAGTAGAATAAGTGCTTGCCTGGCAAGCACAGGGTCCTGAGTTCAATCTCCAGTACCGCAAAAAATAAAAATAAAAATAAAAAATACAAGCAGCTTGTGTGAATCCAAAGCTAATGGGTCTAACGGACCCCTGGCACAAGCACCTTGCATGCCTGCAGGCTGCCTGTGCTCTGCTGGCATGTGGGACGAGGACATCTCTGTCCCCTCAGGTCCATCCGCCCAGTCCTGAACCCCACAGTGAGGACAGAGGTGGATCAGGGAGCAGTGATGGCCTGCTCCTGACCTGCTGCTGCTTTCCAGCCACAGCAGGAAGTCCCCGCAGTGCTGTGACGCTGGTTGTAGGTGCTGTCATCACTCGGCCTCCTCCTCCGGCACAAACACCTCCTCCGTGTGGGGAGAGGAGGGGCCTACTAGGATGCAGAGCTCCGTCCCCCTCTACTCAGGATGGAGCTGGGATGCCGCTGACACCACGACCTCAACTTAGCCAAGCGCATGACCCCACCTAGGACTCTGGATCCTGAGGGCATGAGGGATGCACGACCCGGAGTTGGACATGACTTACACAGAGAAGCATTTGGCAAGTGACTAGCAGCACAAGTGTCCAGGGCAGGGCCATCAATGAGCTCATGGCCAAAGCAACAAACAGCCCCTGCTCCAATCTCAGTTCTGGCCTCTCCGGGGCTTCTGCTCACATTCTAAACCTAGTCCTTGCATCTTCTCATTGAGTCTGTGGCTACCTAGTATCCTCCTGCAGTTCCTTTCCCGTGTAGGACAGAACCCAGGTTGACACCGAGGACCACTGCTGGTACTGCTTAGAGGGCACTGTGCCCCTTGAGGCCATGGGGAAGCCCCAAGCCCTGGCGGCTTAGCTGATCAGACAGACTGCAGGGAGCAGAGCTGGGATTCCCACTCCAAGCTTGTGCAATGAACCACACAGCTCTGTTTTGTCAGCAGAGGCTCATTGGAACCACACAATCAAGGACTGTTCTATAAACGCTATGGGGGACTCTGGACAAACAGATAGATGCATTGGGACCCTGATCTTGGGGCAACCATCGGTCACTGCCTCTGCTGGTCCTGCCGGGCAGGACGGTGGAGCAGCTGGAAACTTGGGGCAGTGGCTGTGTGTTCAGAGAAGGTTGCAGCCACCCTTGCCTCTGTCCTCACTCTCTTCTGCTGCCACCCCGTCAGAATCTGGTGCCCAAAGGAGCTAACTGACTCGACCCACGTGGGTTAGTCTGGGGACAGAGGAGGGAGAGAGGGTGGCCAGGGAGACTGCAGGTGAAAAGGGAGAATTTCAGGGCAGCCGTTTGTCATCAAGGCAGCACATGTCATCTCCAAGTGCATTTAATACACTGCGTAATACCACGCCATCTATACTGCAGTTCATCTCACACGCACACTAAGCCCCGCAGCCCATTCATTGAGGATGGATGTGTGAGCGCGTTGTGGGGATTTTGTTTGTTTGTTTTTCATTGTGGGGTTTGGAGGGAGCAGGATGCTTGTGGAAACAAACATACAAAGCCAGCAGGAAGCCATGTCTGGGCTTGGTAGATCTGCAGGGTCTGGGGGCCGAGCACTTGTCCAACACATCTGGACGAGGTAGCCCAGGTAGCCAAACAACCACAGCATTAGAACTGACACCCCAGCACACTCGCCTCTTCCACCTCCTCTGCCCTGGAGTTTGTGTGAGCTTTGCAAAGCTGAGCCGCCCTGGAGGCGCCCCCGGGAGGACCCATAGCAGTTGCCCCAGAGGGCAGAGTCTGTGCACATCTGGACTGCTCAGTTCCTTTAGACAGAAACTAGACTCTCTAAGAGGAAGAGCTGCAGGATCCAGTCACTGTGGGATGAAGTGGCCCCCAAGAGGCCACCCAGGCACCAGGATGAGCAGAGCTTATCCAATCACACCCCTTCTCGTGGATGCACAATCTGGGATCAGAATGCAGCTCTGTGTGCTCAGGACCCAGCTGGGCAGGGTCAGACCTCAGCTCCCTGAGCAAGCAGGAAGAGCCACATGATGTAGCTGTGCCCTGGGCCTTGGGATGCAGCCATAGGAGTAGGGGACACACCTGTGGCAGGTGAAAAGGTGTGGCTGCTCTTGGTGGCTTCAGGATGAAACTGGCCTTGGCCCCCGCTCAGCTGGAAGGGACGGACCCTCATCCCTCCTGTGTCCACGAGGGCTCTCTGGCCTTAGAGCCCAGAGAGGTAGGAAACAGCCAGCCCTGCCAACAGTTAAGGCTGGCAGGAACTGCAAGTCATGGAAGGGCCTGCCCAGCTCTTTCATGGTGGACAGCGAGAAGGTCCCAAAGATACTGTGAGAGCTGGTAGGGTGCTGAGGACAGACCCAGAGGGGGAGGAAAGTGGGGTAAGCTCAGGGCATCCAGGAGCAGCCTCCAAGCCTTGATGGAGAGAGCTCGTCAACTGCCCATGTCTACCTCATGATTCAAGGAGCAGAGGCTTGAGGCAAGCAACACTGGACCCCAGCCTGCGCACTGAGGCCAGCTCTTGGCTGTCACTGGCAGCTCTGAAAGGTTCCCCATCACTGCTTTAGGCTGCAGCAGCGCCTGGCTTTCTACGGTTTCACTCTCATGGCTTAAAGACTTCCCTAAAGTCGCTCTGCAGTTCTCCTTCCTGCCTGTGAGTGGTGACTGATCACTCATGTGGCCTCCCGTGGGCCACACACACTGCCACCTTCCTGGGTTATCCTCAGGACCTGGAGAAAGAACTCACACAGCTTATCCAAAGCTTTCCGTCCCGCAGAAAATTTATTTGAAAAATGATGGATGAAAAGGTAAGGAAAGACCTAGGTCTGTCGAGTGAGCTTGGGCTAAACAGAGAGAACAGGATACAAAGCAAAAATAAAATGGCATTCTGTGTCCAGACGTCAAAGAGTGGAGTTCCAGGAGGAGTCGCGCTAGCAGGATGCTCCCGGCCTCTGCTCTCCCTTAGGGCATCTGCGTCTCGTGCGAGCCAGGGAGACGCTCTGAATGCAGGGTCCTGGGCACCACGTGGCCCTGCCCAGTAGTCCTGAGACTGAAAGGCCCTTCCCAGTTCTCCAGCCAGCTCCTCCACGCCCTACCTCTTTTATCAGCCGCTCTTCCCCACTTCTGACTGGCCTGGTGACATCTTGTCATCTGCTCTCTTGGTGGCTGGGAGTGTCTGGAGGGCTGCAGTCTAAAGGAGAAACACAGGCATCTGACTCTGGCTGAGAGGGCACCAGCCTTCTTCAATGGCCTTCTATCCAGATGGCCAAAACGGTCCCATCCAGCAGGGGAAAACGGGCAGAGGTCTCAGCCGTGGCTCTACAACTCATGACCACCACAGACAGCCACAGCGAGAAGTAGGTGGCTCCGTCTTTATTTCATGCCAAGTTGAAGGTGGAATGGAGGGCCAGCTTGTGCTGGGGTGGTGCCATCCCCTCCAAAGAGGAGCCAAGCATACAGTCAAAGTGAGCAGGAAAGACCGGGACAGGAAAGGGGATCCTGAGCCCCAGGAGTCACCTGGGGCCGCCCACTTTCCCTCCCATGCTCTTTGACACCACTCCCGGATGGATGTAGCTCTAGCAGGAAGGGAAGGGTTGCTGTCAAAGGCTCATGGGCTGAATGACCGCTGCGTGACAGCAAACAGGATGATGAAGACCAGGCTCTTGCTGAAGAGTCCACAGACCACAGGAATGACGATGCCAAAGAAGGGGACCCTGGGGAGAGAGGAGATTGAATGATGCCCCTGGCAAGGAGGGGATGAAGTCTTTCCATATCCGCAGAGGCCCTTCCCACACCTTTCCCAAGTCCTTGGGCCCTGAGCGGCGTAGCTGGCTTCGTTCTCTACACCACCTATTCAAGAGCTGCTTAGTGGAGGCTAGAGCTCATACCCAGGAGAGGCACAGGGAGGAAGAGTGACCCTGTCAGGCTCTGTTTCCTGGGGCAGTCTAGCCCTAAGCTCTAGCCTCAGTTTCCTAGTCTATAAATCAAGAATGCAACCCAAGAGGAAATCCCATCATAAATTTTTAGGTTTGAGCCAAATGATTCTACAAGTCTCACATGGACATCACCAGATAACATAACAAGACACAAGTGGGACCGGGAGCCCCATCAGCAGGTGTGGGAGAGACCGGAGTGTAAGAACACTACGTGGTAAGACGCAGGCACGAAGAGAAACGGACAGGCACGGGTGAACGGAAGGCCAGGGCAAGCTCGAGGGGCTCTGGACTTCACGGAGCCTGTCCCTAAATTTAAACCTTTTTCAAAGGCTAGGAATGTAGCTCAGTGTGAAGGCCTAGGGGCCAATCTCAAAGGGTACCCCAATCCCCAGAAAATAAATTAACACCCAAGGGAAACTACCACCCTGTAAACAGGCACAAATTGCTTTAGTGACTAGGCTTCTGGGGTCCACACAGATGTATGAAGAGAAACAATGAAATCTTTCTCCAACTCTGCACCCTCAGTGGGCCAAAGGATTTCACTAAGTTGGGGAAAAATGAAAAATAAAAAATAAAAACCATAGCAAAGTTGCCAAAGTAGAGTCCAGCACAATTAAAGCAACCATTTTTAATTTTTTTTTATTTTAACATTTATTGTGTGTGTGTGTGTGTGTGTGTGCGTGCGTGTGTGTGTGTGTGTATGTGTGTGGCCAGCTCAGCCCACCAGGGGGCGCGGCTGGCTGGCATGTGGTGCTGGGGGATTGAACCGCGGTCCATGTGCCTTGCCAAGCTTGTTCCAAGTAGGTGCTTTAGACCACTGAGCCATCTCTCCAGCCCCAACCATTTTTAAATCAGCACATTTTCCTGTACAAAACTTAAAACCAAATGCATGCGCTAGCAAGAGGGAGACACACGGCGGCATTAGCAAAGATCCAAGTGCCCTTCTGCGTGCTGAGATCCACCTCGGTCCCCTGTGCTGCCCTGAGTCTCGGGGGACAACACACCCAAGACTGCCCAGTCAAGCTCCCCAATGACGAGGTCTTCAGAGACAGGGAAGCCGAGTCTGTCCCGCCATCAGGGTTCCAGCCGCTCTCCCCATGGACCCAGGCCCTGCCCTGGCTGGAGCCCCGCTGCCGGAAGGTCCCTGCTTAGGCGCTTCACTAACTCCATCCTCACCCATGCTTCCCGGGAACTCTTCGCACACGCCTGTCTACAAGGCATCTTCAGGGGTGGCACACAGGTTCCCCCACTGCCCTTGAGCACCTGGAATCCATCTGCCCCTGGCATCCTGTGGGCTGTCCACAACCACTGAGTGGGGACACAGGAACACAAAGGCTCTGCATCAGCCAGGCTCAGCGGTCCACGCCTGTAACCCCAGCACTCTGGGAGCTGAGACATGAGGACTGCAAGTTCAAGCCCAGCCTGGGCACTGTACTAAGGCTGCTTCAAAATAAATAGTAAAAAAAAGCAGCACCTGTCCCAGCCCCAAGCACGCTGAGCTGGCCACCAAGACTGGGCGTGGTGGCGCACATCTGTAATCCCAGCCCTGGGGAGGCTGAAAACAGGAGGATCACTGTGAGTCCAAGCTGCATATTGAGACCTTGTATCAAATAAATAAAAAATAAATTAAAGAAAAAATGCTGGGAATGTAGCTCAGTGTAAAGGCCGTGGGTGTATTCCCATTACTGCCAAAACTAGTAAATAAAATAATTAAATTGAGTGAGTAATAGGGACAGCTCTCGGAGCGACCTGGAGCTGCCTGGCAGCTGGAGCTTGTGTCAGCCCACAAGCCTGGCCCAGTTAACGCGACTTCACTTGGCTCCCACCCTCCTGAGTCCCCTTCCTAGGGGCTCTGTTGCCAGTCACTTCCTAAAGCATTTTAACCAGACTGCTTTCCACAGCCCGCCTCTCAAGAAGTGAACCCAAGATGGTTGACACTGTTTCCCGGAAGTCACTGCAGCCCCTTCCTGTTCCTTCTTCCCCACATGCTGCCCGGGAGCGGACCTGTGCTGCTAGCTGCTGCCACCGTGTCCACGCAAGTGCAAAGTGATGGGGCCCACTGATGGAGGGGGGCAAACCTCCAAAACTGTGAAGCCCGATTCACACACGCTCCTGCTAGGCCGAAGGCCTCAGAATTTGTTGCAGCCACAGAAAGCTGCCTTCACGGCTGCAGGTCAAAGCTCTGGGAATCTTGCTGACAAGCACTGAGGCTGGCCCCCCCTATGAGCCTGAAGCAGAAAAAATCAGATGACAGGGAGAGACAGACAGAGACAGAGAGACAGACAGAGAGAGGAACAGAGACACAGACAGACACAGAGACAGGGAAACGAGCACTCCAGAAAATCATAGCCTACTGCTGCTGCTATGGGGATAGATGGTCTCTTGCGGCTCTGGACCTCCATGGTATCACAGGAAGGGGAAGCCAGAGAGGTCCCCACCTGTCCAAGGCTACACGGGCTCCCTTAGAATCAGGGTGCCTCGCTCAAAGTGATTTCTGCTACCCTGTAGGGCCCTGGGGCTCGCTGGCTCAATTCAGGAAGATAGTATTTACCTCTCCTGGCCATTATAGTATGCAAGGAAACCAGGAGGGGACGTGGGAAGGGTGGCACTGTCCCTGACACCTGCCCCTCAGTCTGTGACCACCTCCCTCCTGGGAATTTCTGCCAGACTCAGGTGACTCGAGTCTGATTCTGCCCCATCCAGCCCACACACCTCATCCCTCGTTCCCCACATCCCTTCAGCATACAGACTGAGGAGCAAAGGGCTCAGCACCCAACCCAGACGGCCAGCGCTGGAAACCATACCTGATGACACCTGTCCCATCAGGGTCAGGAGAGGGGATGACAGCCGTTGGCTTAGAGAGAGGCTGAGTCACAGTTCTGTGGTTTCTGTGGGTTGTGCTCAGATGCTCTGTGGCAGGAAAAGTGGAAATATCAGCCAAATTCTGGGTCAGTCCCTCCATGGTAGTAGGAGCAGACGTTTTGGTCAAGTCCAGGGTAGAGCTCATGCCGGAGGCATGGGTACTTGAAGAATCTGCAAGAAGACATATTGGATGGATGGGTGGATGGATAGGTGGGTGGATGGGTGGGTGGATGGATGGAGGGATGGATGGATGGATGGACAGATGGATGGATGGATAGATGGATAGGCAGAGGAATGGACAGATGGACAAATGGATGAATGGATGGGTGGGTGGGTGGGTGGGTGGATGGGTGGGTAGGTGGATGGATGGATGGATGGATGGATGGATGGATGGATGGATGGATGGGTAGGTGGACGGATGGGTAGATGGATAGGTAGAGGAATGGACAGATGGACAAATGGATGAATGGATGGGTGGGGATGATTGGATGAATACTACAAATGAATAGCTGTATGAAAGGTGGACAAATAGGAGGAAAATCAATATGGCCATTGAAGAAGTTAGGGTTTTGGGCTGGCCAGATAGCTCAGCGGAAAAAGCGCCTGCTTAGGCAGACACAGGGACCAGGGTTAAATCCCAGGCTTGCTGTGCCAGCCCCACACTTGAGGCACACTGAGACAGTGATTGAGACTGTGCATAGTGACACGCATCTGTAATCCCAGCACTTAGGAGGCTGAAAACAGGATGATCACTATGATTCCTATCTGTGTAGTGAGACCCCGTAGACCGTGTACACCGTAGAGCCTGTAGACCCTGTAGTAAATACATAATAATAAAGAAAGAAGAAGCCAGGTTTTCTCTTGCTAAAACCAAAGAAACCATGTAAGGTAGCCTGGGTGAGAGACAAGAAGAAGGAAAGAAGGAATGGACAGAGGAGGGAGGGAAGGAGGACAGAAAAAAGAAGAGAGAAGAATTCTCAGGCTATTTGCATGAATGGGGACTGAAAATTTTCACCATCCATGAACCCCCAACTTTTCCAAGGTCATTCCCTGATTAGCCTCCCTTAAGCAATGCTCTCTCCCTTCCTCAAGTGCACATCACTTTGCACGTATCTTTACTAATACCCTGCACGCGTGCCTTGTCCTAGGCACAGCATTCTTCTGGTGCCAGGAAGATGAACCTAGCTCTCTTCTCTGCCCTTCTTAATTCACCCAATACTAGCTGCTCCCCAGACTATGCAAGACATGGATTCTCCCTGACAGACTCAGAGATCACAGGGGAGGCAGATCAGTAACTCCTGTTGTCTGTGAGCAGGGCACAAAGGAGCGGGAGACTCGTTCCTGGCACACGGGAGTTGGGATCTGCAGCCGAACCAAGCTCCCTGCTGTATGACTGCACCCGCAGGAAAGACTGAGGCTCACAGTTTCAGAAGCGGGGGGAGGGGGGAAGCAGCACCCTGGAGAGGAAGACAGAGGATCCTAGGAGGCTTCCCAAGGATGGGGCTTCTACACCAGGACCAAAGTTCTTCCAAGTCTGCCGCTTATGGGCAGAGCCAGAGCTATAGCTACGCAGCCTGCGGCAGAGATGGGCCCCACTGCGAGCCACCAGCCCATCCAAAGCGCCAACATTGCTGAAAGGGAGGAGACCTCAGTCACAGGGACCCCAACCCCCTCCTTGGAAGATGAATGAGATAAGCACAGGTATTAGGGGTGAGCCTTGCTGCTGTGGGCTTGGCAGGGTGGAAACAAGAAGATCTGGGCTACGTTTTCCCCCAGACATGCGGGGCTCTGCAGAACCTGAGAGGCCAGTGGCGATCCACAGGCCTGGATACCTTTCTCTATGGGGCAGCAGCAAAGCACTGGGGAACAGTACCAGGCCCTTCTACGGGTCTGACCCCCACTGCCACAAGACAGACAGACAGACAGACATGCACGTGCACACACACACACACACACACGCACGCTTGTTCCGGCTGCAGTGTGCCCTCAGTGCTCCCTCTCAGGCTCCCAACTCCCAGGCTCGTGCCTGCCCTGCTTGGCAGATTTCTCAGCACTCAGACTCCATCCAGGTCCTAATCTTCCCCACCACTCCAGGACCCCAGTTGCTCCCACTGCCCCAAGCACAGGTTTCTCAGGGCTCACGTGTGATCTCCCACCCAGTTTCCCCCTGGCATGCGAATCAGAGGCTCCTGTCACATTGTCCCCCCCAGTCAAGCCAGGATGAGCTCTCTCTTCCTCTTCCTTACCCCCGATTCTTCCCTGTCCTTCTTCCTCTCACTGGGGCTCCTTCTGCTTACTAGACCTGGTGTTCTAGCCTTCTGCATGACTGTATTCCTGATGTCTCTCACAATGAGAGATAAGGAGGGCTGGCACCCCAACTTCAGGTCTAGCACCATCCCCACTGCCCCCTGCTATGTCTCCACAGCAGTGCCAACTGGCAGACGGGGGCCTCCCCCACCTGCTGTGCTCAAGGCACCCCTCCCCACCTGGGTCCCTGCTGCTCACCTGGGCATAGGCTCAGCCAAACTGGATATGGCAGGGTAACGAGGGGCTCAACGAGTATGACGCACTGGTACAGTCCCACATCCTGCCTCTGGAACTGCATCATGGTGATGTTGATGATGCCAGTGGTGGGGTTGTCCTCCACGACGAACCTCCCCACCTGGGCCCGGTTCAGGTCTTCGTTTTTCGTCTCCGTCTGCACTAGAGTCTTTGGGGGGCCCTGGCTCTCCACCCGCTGCCAGGCCTTGAAGCTGTACTTGTATCTGCTGTTGTAGTGAAAGTCCACTGACACGTCTTGCCCTTCCCCCACACACTCATGATCCTCGTACTGGCCTTCAGCATGAAGTCCTAGGGGAAGAGCAAGCAGTCGCTGAGCTGGCCGCTGACTCTATGCCTCCAGCGCTGGCCTCGACCGCAGCCCAGACGCAAGGCTGAAGACACCGCGCCTTAACAGCTCAGGCGAGCGCTGGGAGCCACGGCGCCAAGCAGTGCTCTGATGTTGTTCGGCAACGTGTAGGGCCTGGAGCAGTGGCTTCTGTTCGGAACGCGTAAAGCATAGCAGTAGTGGTGGCTGGAGACTTGATTCTAGGGGCTTACGGTAGCTATTCTGTCTCCATGTTGCTTTTTGTGAATTGATAAAATAATTACACTCATTTTGGAGAACTGGTACCTAGCTAATAGTATCTTGATTATTTTGGTTCTCCCCCCCCCCATCTTACCCTACCATGTCCATTTTAGAAAATAGAAGTTTTGATTTTTTTTTTGAACTGGGAGTTGAACTCAGGCCCTGCATTTGCCAGGGAAGTGTTTATTTACTGAGCCATCTCCCCAACCCAGAAGTTTTGAATAAAAACAAAGAACTGAAGAAGCCCGCCTGGTGGTACACGCGGTTAATCCCAGCACGCTGAGAAGGAGGAACCAGCCCAGACAGCCACGAGCCTCACCTAGGCAGCTTAGCAAAGCCTGCCTTAAAATAAAAAATAAGGTAAAACAGACTGGGATGCAGATCAGCTTGAAGGCCCTGGATGCAAGGGGCCAGGGAGCTAGCTCAGCGGCATAAGCACCTGCCTGGCGAGCGTAAGGTCCTGCCTGCGTTTGGTGACTAGTACTGTAAAAAAAATAAAAAATAAATTTTTAAAAAGGTAGATTCAACCCTATTACAGCCAAACAAAACAAGGCAAACGAACAACAAAAGCAAAATCACCCACCTTGCCCTCCACCTTCCAGCCCACCCATGGCTGTCCTGATGTGCCCCTTGTCATCCGGACACAATCCCTTCGTTAGCCCCTGGGGCCCCCGGGCTGAATTCTCCCACACTCCTCTCCACCCACATCCACTCCACTCATGCGAGAGAAGCCCACCTGAACATCTCCCACTGGCACTACCCCCTTTCTCCTCTTGAACCCCAATACCAGGGGTCACCCACACTTGCTTACACACTACCACCACCACCGTCCTCTTCCTCATTGCCACCATAACTTTAGTAAGCCCTTCCTTTGTGCTAAATACTGACTCTAGTATTGAGCCAACAGTCTGCTATTTAACTCTTCAGCTACCTTTCTGATGTGCATGCCAGCCACACCATGAATGTTTGTCAATGGGTGCTGTCCACAAACAGTGACACTAATCTGACTCCCAGAAATGGTTCAAGCATATCCTAGGAAGAGACAATGAAGCTAACAAAGACTGTAGAATGAATACGCCAGGTGAGGTAAGGAGTTAGATTGAAGGAAGGAGACAACATCAACAACAAGGAAGTGAGGCAGTGACAGGATTAGGTCAATACCTATCAGTAATAACTGGCAGGGTGACTGGTCTCAATCTCCCTATCAAAAGACACAGACTGGCAGAACGGATTAAGACACAAAATCCAAGAGTATGCTGCTTGGAAGAAATATATCTCATGCAGAAAAGCTCAGAAGGTAAAAATTAAAGGGTGGAAAACAATATTCCATACAAAGGAAATCCCAAAAAATAAAGCCCCACAGGTGTAGCTATCCTATATTCAGAGAGAATGGACTTAACCCAAAAATCAGTCAAAAAAGGAAGCAGAAACACTACTTAGTGGGAGAAAACAATCCAACAGGAGAAGACAACAATTATTGACATACAGGCACCAAACAACGGAGCATACAAGTTCATAAAACAAGTACTAATGGACATAAAAGATCAGATAAACATAAACACAATTATATTAGAGCACCTCAGTACCCCCACTAACACAGATA